GTCGCTAAGTTCTGCACGGCTGCAATTAAAATTTGGAGGATGATGATTGAGGGTTAAAATACATAAGCTTCTCTTGGAATATAGGTGGAATATCAGATATAGACTGATATTTATAGGTTTGGATATTCCCCCCCCCCCTCCCCGGTGCCATTCCCACTACCTCTCTTTAGACTGCGTAGGATGATCTTGTGGGTTGAGTTAGGTTTTAATAATTACTTGTATTGGTTTTTAGCTTAGATTTTAAAATTTGTTGAAATTTGAAGTGTATAACCCCTTGGATTTGATGTGAATGTACGGGACTGGGCCGCCATGTTGTGATCTGGTCATCGACCATAATAAATTTTACTTTACTTACTTTACTTTGCAATCAGTCAGGATGCATCCATACTTAAGTTTATGTACTACTTACAATAAGGGCTGACAATAAGTGATTTGAGAGGAGATATGATTCAGAGAGGCAAGTCCAGGAGAAAGGGTATGGACACATTGAAGGACACCTTCAGATGGATGAACAAAAGCTCATGGGCACAAAGATCCGTTGGGCAAGGGGGGCGGGGGGAAGAAAGAAAAGTGTATGAAGGAGGCTTGAGAGAGCTATGAAAATAATGATGAGAATTGTGCTGGGTCCAAGAACTGTAGGGCATTCAGGAACAGAACAAAGGGCACAATATTATTCTTGCTATCATCTGACAGTAATCTTTCTACACAAAGAGTTATTGAGACTGCATAATCTAGGATGGTAATACTGGGATATTTGTAGGATTAGCTATGTTGACTTTTCTTGGTATGAGTCTTTAAGGTTGTGGGAAACACCCATTTGAAATCCTGATGCTTGTTAGTGCATACTGTACTGAGCTAGATGAGTTAATAGTGTGACTTATGAAGTGGGTCCCTGTGTTCCATCCCAGATTGTTTCAGATTTGTAGCTAGATAACAGTGAATGTATTTCCTTTTGTAACACAACACAATGAGTGCTACCTTGTCTAGTGAAGTGATACAGTCTGCAAAAACTTTTACTAACAAAACATGCTAGTTGCTGATGTACTAAAAGGCTTCCTATTGTTTGTTAGAATAAACAACATAAGAAATTGTATAGCATTGATTTTTTTTTGTTATTGGGGACATATAAATATTTTTAAATCTAGCATAAACAACATTCATTATGTTGTTTTAAGACAAATCAACAACAATACACAGTGCATGCAAATTCAGTTTGTAACATTTTATAATCAGAGATTCACAGCATACAAGCCTGCCTTGGTGCTATAATCAGCAAATGAGGCCCTGCTCTCGGTCCCAACCCCCATCTCAAGCATGGCTAGTGGGAATGAGAGAAGGTGCTTTCTCTGTGGTTGCCCCTTGCCTCTGCAACTCCCTCCCTAAGGAGATCAAAACAGCCCCCTCCTTAAACTCATTTAAAAACAGCTAAAGAACTTTTATGCTCACAAGCATAAAGAGAAGAGGACATATAAAACATCTGGCACAAACAAAACTGAAAAGTATTGTCGAAGGCTTTCATGGCCGGAATCACTGGGTTGTTGTAGGTTTTTCCGGGCTATATGGCCATGTTCTGGAGGCATTTTTCCTGACGTTTCGCCTGCATCTGTGGCAAGCATCCTCAGAGGTAATGAGGTCTGTTGGAACTAGGAAAAACAAGGTTTATATATCTGTGGAATGACCAGGGTGTGACAAAGGACTTTTGTTTGCTGGGGCTAGCTGTGGATGTTTCAGCTGATCACCTTGATTTGCATTCAATGGCTTGGTAGCGCCTGGGGGGAATCTTTTGTTGAGGGTGATTTCATGTGCCTGTTTGTTTCCCCTCTGTTGTTTTGCTGTAATTTTTGAGTTTTTTAATACTGGTAGCCAGATTTTGTTCATTTTCATGGTTTCTTCCTTTCTGTTGAAATTGTCCACATGCTTGTGGATTTCAATGGCTTCTCTGTGTAGTCTGACATGGTGGTTGTGCGAGTGGTCCAGCACTTCTGTGTTCTCAAATAATATGCTGTGTCCAGGTTGGTTCATCAGGTGCTCTGCTATGGCTGATTTCTCTGGTTGAAGTAGTCTGCAGTGCCTTTCATGTTCCTTGATGCGTGTCTGGGCGCTGCGTTTGGTGGTCCCTATGTAGACTTGTCCACAGCTGCATGGTATACGGTAGACTCCTGCAGAGGTGAGAGGATCCCTCTTGTCCTTTGCTGAACGTAGCATTTGTTGGATTTTCTTGGTGGGTCTGTAAGTGGTTTGTATGTTGTGTTTCCTCATCAGTTTCCCTATGCGGTCAGTGGTTCCCTTGATGTATGGCAAGAACACTTTTCCTCTGGGTGGATCTTCATCTTTACTCTCGTGGTTTGTTCTCGGTTTTGCAGCTCTTCTGATGTCTGAGGTGGAGTATCCATTGGCCTGGAGAGCCCAGTTTAGGTGGTTCAGTTCACCTTGGAGAAGGTGGGGTTCGCAGATTCTTTTTGCACGGTCTGCCAAGGCTTTAATTGTGCTTCTTTTTTGACTTGGGTGATGGTTGGAGTTTTTATGTAGATATCTATCCGTGTGTGTGGGTTTTCTGTAAACGGTGTGACCCAATTGTTGATCTGGTTTGCGGATGACTAGGACATCTAGAAACGGCAGTCTTCCTTCATTTTCTTTTTCCATGGTGAATTGGATGTTTGGGTGGATGCTGTTCAGATGGTCCAGGAACCTGTTGAGTTCTTCTTCTCCATGGCTCCAAATGGTGAAGGTGTCATCCACATATCTGAACCATATCGTGGGCTTTTTGGTTGCTGTCTCCAGGGCTTGTTTTTCAAAGTGTTCCATGTAGAAGTTAGCTATGACCGGGCTGAGAGGGCTCCCCATAGCTACTCCATCTTTCTGTTCATAGAACTCATTGTCCCACTGAAAGTAGCTGGTGGTGAGGCAATGGTGAAACAGAGCTGTGATGTCTTCTGGGAACCTCTGGTTGATGAGTGCCATGGTGTCTGCTACCGGGACCATGGTAAATAGAGATACCACATCGAAGCTGATCAGTTTGTCGTTGGTATTTAGGTTGAGATTGCTGATTTTTTCAATGAAGTGGGCTGAGTCCTTGATGTAGTGTGTAGTGAGCCCAATATGGCTTTGTAACTGTGCAGCAAGAAATTTTGCTAAGTCATATGTGGGGGATCCAATGGCACTCACGATGGGTCTGAGCAGGGACAAGAAAAAGAGTGCCATTCTTCACACATATACAGTAGGCCTTAGCATCCTTTGATTCCAGGATTCACTGTGGCTACCAAAATCCATTGATGCTAAATCCCATTATATACAATAGCATATGAAATGGCAAAATCAAAGTCTGCTTTTTTGGAATTTTTAAAGAATGTTTTCAGGATGTGGGTGGTTGTATCTATGAATGTAGAATCCATGAAAAGAGAGGGATGACTGTAATGCTCTTATTCATTTCAAGTCCCCTTGCTTCAGCACATGTGTATATTTCCTTGTTTTGTAGTGGAAAATCTGCAGGATTTATGGAAAATAAAGCATCCCTTGTTACCATCTGATTTCCCCTCAGAAGTGTCTGCCTAGATCAGTCTTACAATAGACACACAGGGTAATAATAATAATAATAATAATAATAATAATAATAATCTTTATTTATACCCCGCCACCATCTCCCCAACGGGGACTCGGGGTGGCTTACATGAGGCCAAGCCTCATGTAATGTATCCTGTATAAAATATGAACAATGATGAAAAGTACATAAAGCCAAAAGAAAACCATCATCAAAATGCATAAACTGCATATAAAATCAACAGTAAAACATGATAACTATCTGAAAGTACAAAAAAAAGTTTTTGAAGCAACTTTGAGACTAGCTGACAGAGAAAAAAGTTGCTTTTGTAGACTAAGTCTACTTCATGAGATGCCTTGTGTCCCAAGTTGTGAACATAGGTATATGATTATAAAAACTATTATTCAAATAGTCATGTTAGTATGGAATGTCAACATGCAAAGAAATCTTGTAGCACCTTATACACTAACTGAGAGAATAAAGTTGGTAGCATAAGCTTTCATACACCAAATGTCTACTTTCTCATATGCATCTTTATCTATGAAAGATTATGCTATCAACTTTACTTTCTTAGTCCCCAAGGTGCTACAAGAGCCCTTTCTTATATGATTATAAAACCTAGTATGTGTGTAACTTGTGAGGCCAATCTCACTTCAGATTTTAACAGATGTATGTGGTATTAAAGGGGTCAAAGTGGACCAAGATAATGAGAATTATAGCAGTCTTTCTTCCACATGTAGATTTGACCCAGGATAACAATATTTATGTCTCTGTGATGGGTCATCTACACTTCCTTATATCCCAGGATCTGATCCCATCTTATATTTGAGTCCGCTTTGAGTCCCCTTAGGGGTGAGAAAAGCGGTATATAAATGCTGTAAATAAATAATAATAATATCTGCTTTGAACTGGATTATATGAGTCTACACTGCCAGATAATCTGAGATAACAAGATAATCTGGGATCAGATAGTGGGATATAGGGTATTGTAGATCTAGCCTGAGACTGGCCTAAAAACCCTAAAGGAAGTCATCTGATCTTGGAAGTGAAACAGAATCAACTTTGGTTAGGTCTTAGATGGGAGAATACCAATTGGTGTTGAATATATTTGATTGGAAAGACATTGCAAACCCACCACTGCGAAGTCCTTGCCTTACAAAATTCATTAGGTTGCCACAAATTGACAGGTAACTTGGGTGCTTGGTCACATGCACACATACACATATGATGTAGAGTTTGGATATTTTTAGATTGTGACTCTGGGGTTGCTGTAACTCATTTTTGAAATCTTTTAATATATCATGGAGTTTCCTTTTTCTCAGCTTTCAGTGTATCCAAAAATAATCAACTTCACTTATGTCCTATAGAGGGGAAAAAAAATCTTCTGTGGTAATGGGGAAAGTGTTTATCATCTATGCTAAATGCCCACATAGTTGTTTTATCACTGTATTTTCTCTTCCAGTCTGAATACCATTATGAATACACAGCATGCAACAGCCTAGGTTCCAGATGGAGAGTAGCTGTGCCACACACTCCAGGACTCTGCACCGGCTTGCCAGACCCCATCAAAGGCACAGAATGCTGTAAGCCATTATTGCTGCCACTGCATCTTTCCTGCTCATAGCTTTTTCCAGCACATTGGAGATTTTTGGGCCTCATTGAACCACTGGCATGAGAGAGCTATTTTCAGGCAGTGCTGTCATTTTAATAAAGCCCACGCCACCAATGCTACTTGCTTGGAAGTAGAACTGATTCCCCAGCTCTTCTAATGTTTGAACATTGCGAAGAAAGAGATTGAAATGTGAACTGATCTTGAATACCCCTCAGTTGGCATTTCCTCTGACCTGTAGTAAAAACTATTTGAATTTCTGTATCTGAAGAGTAAAAATATCGAGAGAGTTAGTATTACCATATCTGACCTTAAAATGACATTTTGTGGAAGTTCTTTTATTATTAGCAAAGGCTGCAGTAAAATGGCTGCTGTATCATTATTTAATTGACATATTCAGTTCATTGACAGAAAAATGCTCATTGTTAATTGGGCAGCAGAGCTGTCTGAAAATGTGTTTAATGTTTAAAACATGTTATATTGCTTGTTGCATTCCTCATTTTTTTATATTACTTACTTCTTTTAAGAGCATAAAATCAAGCCTTTATACAGACTGAGTATCCCTTATCTGGAATTCCAATATCTGAAATACTCCAAAATTTGTCCACTTGATTTTCTCAGGTTCAATGTATGCAAACTTTGTTTAATGTACAACATTACTTAAAATATGGTGTGTAAAATTCCCTTCAGGGTATGCATATAAGAAGTACATGAAATAAATTAATTTCATGTTTAGATTTGGATTCTACCTTCAAGATATCTCATTATATCACTGTATGCAAATACAGGTATTCCATTTTTTTTAAAAAAAAGCCAAAATCCAAAACGCATCTGATCTCAAGCATTTCTAATAAGGGATACTCAACCTGTATACGTTTAGTATAACATGCATCCCACAGTTTGACAACTGATTGTACATTTAGTACCATTGTCTTCAGCTCATAAATTGTACAAAAATTCTTTGGCTCCTCAACTACGAAGTGTCTCTGTGCTTGCAGAATAATTGACTGCACTAGGGATCACACACTATTGCAGGCCCTAAAAAAATGTAGCAACTTATGCAACAGAGTTTCTGAAAGTGTACTGTCCTCACGGGATTTGGATATAAGATGATTTAAAGAATGATATAAGACTTGTCAAAAAAAAAAAAAGCACCCCAAAACAACCCCCTGTCTAAATGCCTCTTAATAATGCTCCTTAAAAGTACATTTGTAATGTAAATAAAAGCTGTAATTCATTTCATTCTTCCTTGGTGCATTACTCTTGAAATGTGGGTTCCTAACAATATCATTACCCAAAAATAACTTCTCCAAGGTAACTAAATTGCTACTGTCAGATTTTGATCAGAATTCAGGTTGTAAAGGCATAAACAATGTTTTCAAGCTGAAACAAATTTCTGAAGGAATTCGAGTAAGGACTTAGAATTGACCTGCCCATAATAAGCAAATTGGACAGGCAAACGGGTCCTTCCCACTAGGCTGAGAGATACTTTCTTTCTGTTTCTATTTTAATAATTATTTCACACCTTGCATTTAAAGGTATAAATAGGCCAGTCACCAAAAGTACACCTGAAAATGGGGGAGTATCAGAGACTGGAGGGAACCACTGAGGAGTGATGATACGGAAAGAAAGGTTTCTGTTGATTATCTCAGATCCTAGGCAAACTTGTTGAGGAAAATATGATCCTTCAGATTAGTCTGACTCAGCCATACAGGGTTTTATTAGATCACTAATAACCAGTACTTTGAATTGTGCCTGGAAACAGACCAAAAGCCAGTGAAGCTGTTGTCAACAAGGGTATCATGCTCAGCAGGCATGTAGCCGGGGGGGGGGGGGGGGGGCTTGAGGGGCTTCCGCCCCCCCCCCCAAATTCTCATGGTGGTTCTCGAAAAGGCCTTACTGGTGCATTATTTAAACTGTTATGTTTATTCATATCATGATCTGATCACCATACTCAATATATCCCATATGCATGGGGGTATTGGGGTTACAATACAAAAGGTTTGCTAGGGTAGACCCTCTTTCACTCAGACTCAGCCCCCCCCCCGAAACAAACTCAGCCCCCCCGAACCCCCCCCCCAAAAAAAATTTACCCCCCCCCCCCCCGAAACGAAATCCTGGCTACGGGCCTGATGCTCAGTATAACTGGTCCCAGTCAATCACCTATCTGGAGTATTTTGTACCATTAGTAGTTCTTGAACACTTCTGATAGGCAGGTCTACATGGAGTGTGGTACAGTAAACAAAACGTCATGTAAGTTGTGATGTGTATTCAGGGGCTCTTTGGATCTCTTTTCTCTATGGATACAAGGCAAGCTTAAAGAGCTGTTAAATTATGATACAAATATGTAATTATAATATCAATTTGATTAGCTAGGCTATACATTCAAGAATGTAAAAATAAAACCCAGCCTAGAATGTTAATACTCATTTATTTTTCTTTAATGTTTTTCTCCCTTCTAAAGCCATTGAGAAGGTTTAAAATGTCATCCCCTTTAATTCTCCTTTGCATACAGACATTCCACAACACCTTGCAGGAATAGGTCAATTTTAGAATTTTTAGTGATGGCAATTTAATGTCTGCTTTGTGACAGTAATAGAGCCAAGATTTGAAAATCCAGAATTTGTTTCCTCCCACCATAAAGATCTTGATCTTGCCACTGTATGTTCAACTGGGCACATGTGGGAGGACTCTAGATTCTACAACACCTTGCTCCAGATTACCCATTTGGCTGCCTTCCTGCAAACTTTTCCTCATCATGAAAAAACGAATTTATTACTATAGACCAGATGAACTTCCATACATTTGAATTTTGAGGTTCCCTCTCCCTTTCTTTTCCAGATGTCAAAGATATAGTTTTTTTGTTATATTCATGCTCAAGAAACTGTGTTATATTCAAGCTCAGAAAACTCAGATTAGTGGGAATGAACTAAAATCAAGTCACAGTTTCTAATCCTGATTCTAGATAATAGGGACTTTCAATTCAACTAAAATCAGGAGTGGACATGTTCGATTATTTCCTCACAACTGTACAATTGAAGAAAATACTAGGAAAAAGTCACTATGGTGTGTGTGTGTGTACATACACACATACACACACACAAAAAAAGCCAGGTTTCCTACCACGTATGTATGTATGTATGTATGTATGTATGTATGTATGTATGTGTTAGGAAACCTGGCTTTCTTTTTGTGTCTGTAGAAGACGTTATGGCACAAGCCAGAGCATATTAGAAGAAAATCCCATATAGTGCAATGAGAGTTATCCCAAGGTGCATTTAGAGCTTTATAATGCAACCTTAGTCAGAAATAAGCCCCACAGAGTTCAGTAGGGTTTGTCCCTCATATGTATGTTTAGCACTGCAGTATTAGTCTCTGGTTTCTCACCTTCCCCACCCCCCACCCCCACCCCCACCCCCCAAAAGTGCATGTTGGGCTCCTTGAGCGATTGTATGCAATGGAAAGGCAAGATGTCAATTGTTTTAACAGATAAACAATAGATATTTTGCCTTGGTTTGTTTATAAACCGTTTAGTCTATAGATGAATAGAAGAGAAACAACCTTATCAAAATGTTTTCTGATTTCACTCCAGGTTCAGCAGGCACTACTCCACTTATCTGTTGGTTCGCCAGAATGCTAGGAATCAATCTAGAAAAATCTCTATTTGTTTTTTTTCTCACCCTTTCGCCTAATCTTGCTTTTGCTCTTCTGCATTTCAGCATTTTCCTGCACAGCAGGCACGTTCTTGGACATGAAAGATCAGTCATGCAAACCATGTGCAGAGGGCACGTATTCTCTGGGGACCGGCATCAAGTTCGATGAATGGGATGAACTGCCCCATGGTTTTGCCAGTGTGGCAACCAACCTTGGAGTTGATTACAGCCTCACAGAATCCTTGGGAAATTGTAGCATGTGAGTGAGCTTGTTGTTATCATTAATGTTGGAACACAGCATCCATGCTGCTCAGCATCAGTCAGTGCCTTCAAGGCTGCTGTAGATTTGAAAAACTAAGCAGCACATTTGATTTGGCATGCTTGTGAATTTCTTATTAATTCTCTGCTATTCTGCTCCTGATTTTATGATTTCTAATGCTGTTTGTGAGCCTGTGTGTTTTGTTTTACTTACAGTTAACTGATGCATGCCTGCATGCACATTCAGTTGTCAAAAGGTATTTGATGTGGTTGTGTCGGCTACATTATGATCCATCTTCATACTGTGATTTAATTAATGGACAAATGTGTACATTAACCTGAAAGGAAGGGGAGAGACATGATCTAAAAATAAGGGCAAAGTGACGATTCTGAAATTGATTTGATAATTCTCAGCATTAAATCACAAGTAACTCAATTTGTGACAATAATAGGAAAATCCACTCATCCTCCTTTGATTAAGCTTTACTGTGATGATAGATAATAAGCTCATATGCTACAGTCAGTGGGACTGTAGTTAACAATGCTGCTTCTAATTCCCTATTCCATCCACATTGGATTATGTGAACAACTAATTTTAACTTGTAGCAGTTTGTCTCCCTCTTTATATTATTCTTTTTAGAGCACAAGTTAGGATGTTTATATTTAAAAAGGATAATTTAATTTGTAAACCAAGATGGTTTGTGTTATGGCCATGACATTTGCGTTTGTGTGCATATTTTGTGCCATTTCTGGCTCATGGTGCCCCTAAAGAGGTGGTTCTCAACCTGTGGGTCCCCAGATGTTTTTGGCCTACAACTCCCAGAAATCCCAGCCAGTTTACCAGCTGTTAGGGTTTCTGGGAGTTCAAGGTGCTGGTTTTGACCTACAAAACCCTATACGGTTCCGGTCCAGCGTATCTGTCCGAACGCATCTCCCTCTACGTCCCACCTCAGAGTTTGAGATCATCTGGGAAGGCCCTGCTCTCGACCCCACCGCTATCACAAGTGAGGTTGGTCGGGGCGAGGAGCAGGGCCTTCTCAGTGGTGGCCCCTCACCTATGGAACTCACTCCCGGGGGAAATTAGGTCATCAACATCCCTACTCTCCTTCAGGAGGAAATTAAAAATGTGGTTGTGGGACCAGACCTTCGGGCAATCTGACAACTAGATATAGACAATTGGATGACTAGGACTGACAGGACTAAGTGGAATTGGAATTTGGACTATGAGATGGCGAACGCTGGGCGTTAATTAGGTGAAATTGGTTTTATTGGTTTTATTGTTGCAGTGCAGAAACTGATTGTTAATTGTTTAATTTCTGCTATATTGTTTTTATTCTACTGTTATGTTGATGCCGGCATCGAATTGTGCCTTTGTAAGCCACCTTGAGTCCCCCTCTGGGGTGAGAAGTAACCGAAATAAATGTTGTTGTTCATTCGTTCAGTCGTCTCCGACTCTTCGTGACCTCATGGACCAGCCCACGCCAGAGCTCCCTGTCGGCCGTCACCACCCCCAGCTCCTTCAAGGTCAGTCCAGTCACTTCAAGGATGCCATTCATCCATCTTGCCCTTGGTCGGCCCCTCTTCCTTTTACCTTCCACTTTCCCCAGCATAATTGTCTTCTCTAGGCTTTGCTGTCTCCTCATGATGTGGCCAAAGTACTTCAACTTTGTCTCTAGTATCCTTCCCTCCAATGAGCAGTCGGGCTTTATTTCCTGGAGGATGGACTGGTTGGATCTTCTCGCAGTCCAAGGCACTCTCAGAACTTTCCTCCAACACCATAGCTCAAAAGCATCTATCTTCCTTCGCTCAGCCTTCCCTAAGGTCCAGCTCTCACATCCTAGGTTACTACAGGGAATACCATGGCTTTGACTAGGCGGATCTTTGTTGCCAATGTGATGTCTCTACTCTTTACTATTTTATCGAGATTGGACATTGCTCTCCTCCCAAGAAGTAAGTGTCTTCTGATTTCCTGGCCACAGTCTGCATCTGCAGTAATCTTTGCACCTAGAAATACAAAGTCTGTCACGGCCTCCACATTTTCTCCCTCTATTTGCCAGTTGTCAATCATTCTTGTTGCCATAATCTTGGTTTTTTTGATGTTTTAGCTGCAACCCGGCTTTTGCGCTTTCTTCTTTCCCCTTGATTAGAAGGCTCCTCAGCTCCTCCTCGCTTTCGGCCATCAGTGGTGTCATCTGCATATCTGAGGTTGTTAATGTTTCTTCCAGCAATTTTCACCCCAGCTTTGCATTCATCAAGCCCCGCACATCGCATGATGTGTTCTGCATACAAGTTAAAAAGGTTGGGTGAGAGTATGCAGCCTTGCCGTACACCTTTCCCAATCTTGAACCAGTCTGTTGTTCCGTGGTCAGTTCTGTCTGTTGCTACTTGGTCTGAAATAAATAAATAAATAAATAAGTCCAAAAACATCTGGGGACCCCAGCTTGAGAACCACTTCCCTAAAGCAAACTATGGGGGTTTGGTGACAAGATTTGCTCAGAGTGGGTTTGCCACTGCCTTTCTCTGAGGCGGAGAGTGTGTGACTTGCCCAAGGTCATTCATTGGGCTTCTATAGCCAAGGAGGGATTCAAACCCTGGTCTCCAGATTTGCAGTCCAGCATTCAAATCATTATGCCATACTGACTTATATCAACATGATTTTTCTAAAGAAAGATTATTGCATTACAAATATACAGTGCTCCCTCGCTACTTCGTGGTTTGCTTTTCACAGACTCCCTGTTTCACAAATTTTCAATACATTAATTTAAAATATATATCATGTGACAGACACCCAAACTGTCCCCACCAAGCCGCCACCACTCTCCGAGGTGCTTTCCCCCCTCAGTCCTCCCTCCAGCCTTGAGGGCCTTTCCTTCCTTTCCTTCGCTCTCTCTCTCTTCATCCGATGAAGGGAAAGGCAAGAAGGACTTGCTTCCTTTCCTTCCTTTCTTCCTTGACAGTCCTTTCCTTCTCCCCTGCAACTTCCATGCACCCTTTCAGCCCTGAAGAGGAGAAGGAGAAGAGGAAGGTGAAGAAGGCAAGCATGAATGGGGAAGGAGGAAGGGAAAGAGGAGGAGGAGGGGAGAGGGAGCCAGGCACACTAGGAGGAGCCGACAGGAAGTGTGGTGTGCAAAGGGAGGAGAGAGGGAGAGGAAAAGAGGAGAGGAAAGAGAAGGTGAAGGGATTGAATGAGAGAGAGAGAGGGGAGGGGAGAAAGGAGTGGGTAGTCCTATGCCTCGCACGCACTGAGGCAGGACATACATAGCATCCCTACTTTGCGGATTTTCACTTATTGTGGGTGGCCCTGGAACTTAACACCCACAGTAAGTGAGGGAAACTGTATAACTTATTAAAATTTTAGTAATTTTTAATCATGCAGTTTTATCAGTTGAACGTAATATTTAATTCTTTTGTGTTCCAAATTTTGTTTAAATTAAAAGTGACAAATGACAAGTCTTAGGGAAAAGATCCAAACATCTGATGAAACAGATGCAAGATACTGAAAGAAGCAAAACCAAATCTTGCCTATTCATTCAAATGCCATTGTAGAAATTTCAGTTTGACTTCACAATAAGAAATAATTGCTTTTGCAGTTTTTAATATGATTTTCCATTCAATGTTTAATGAGAAGAATCTGTTTTTCCTCAACTTAGCCTATCATTCAAAATGTGTACCATTTAATTATGAAAAAGACAATATTAACAAAATAGTGCATAATGAAAATGATAATGGGGGTCAATTCAAGTTTGATTTGACATGCCTTGTTTTTCATTATACCCCTCATTACTTTTCTCAAGACTTATTTCTCTAATTCCACATGCCAGGCAAATCTGCATGATTTACAAAGTCTCCTCTGTTTTTAACAACCTGCTTGGTTGGAAAGCAAATACTTGACACTTGCTGTGATTATTGAAGTGATCTGTCAAGTTTTTGGCACTCTGTGAGTTGTAAAACATTTTCCCCATATACCATCTTTAATTTGTTTCTTGATCTCTTTTATATCATTCCCAGTAAGAGCTTTTCCTTTCCTTTGAAAATTACTGTCAGGGAAACAGGCTAACCCAACAATTGCCCCTTCGTAATCTGTTTGTGTACCAACTAGTAGTAAACAGTGCAAGCCTGAATCTTACTAAAGCATGAAAGTATTAACTCTCTATAATAACACATCACATGCCTTCCAGTTCTAGAAGAACTGACACTTTCTTGGAGGTATTCTTTAACACGCTAGTGCTAGGAGGTGCTGGGTTATGGGTCAGAGGAAGACCACCTTATATACAAGGTAAGGTGACACTTCCTCTACCCTGTACAAATAATATGTAAAGACACTGCTCATTGGAGTCCAAACACCAGCATCAGTGCATGTTTCCCAGTCCTCCACTTACCTTAAAAGTTATGTCGAAACAGGTAGCAGCTGTTACAATAACGGCAAATTACTTCAACATGCTGACTCCTGTACATGACATTGGCAGAGCACGCTTTATTTGTTTGATTCTACTCTGACATTTTGTGCTAGTGTCAAAGCATGGAAAAGGGATGGTAGTAATCACTGCTTTTATTCTTCTAAAGATTATTATCATTAGAGACTGCAGCCCACTAGCCAACTTACCATGTTTGTTCCCACCCATGCAGCTGCTCCAGTAGTATTATTGATCCTAGCCAATGCTTCTTACAATTGGATTGAATTGAACATAATCAAGCCAAGATGCTGGGAAACAAAACTGCTGACAGCCTTAACTAAAACTGATATGTGATTGGGCACATTTTTCGCTCTGTGGACTGGTGGGCTATTATGATACATGGTCCACTCCTGCTGCCCAAGCTTAGCCACCATGAATTTTAGCAATTTCTATTCTGCTCTTGTCTGCCTATGGTTTTAATCCTAGTTGTAGCAATTAAGCCTAATACTGTGATGATGTGAATATTTTGTGAGCTTGTGATTTTAAAGTGTGCAAGAGGTTAACTCTAGTCAAAGATGGGCCTTTTGTCCTATCCATCAGACTCCAA